AGATTTGTCCTGACTGTGGGCCAGGCAGGAAAACTCTAGCTACCCTGAACCCACATCTCAATCAAACGATACCAGGCAGTTTGCAGTTTGGTCAGCAAACAAAAGCAAATCTAAGGCTTGTGACTGAACCAAGTTTCCTAAGAACATGGAATTGGTGGAGCATTCACGTGTGAAAAAAAGCACATTTTACACACACACACACACACACACACACACACACACAGACAGAGAGACAGACAGACAGACAGAGAGACAGACAGACAGACAGACAGACAGAATTCCTAACACCTGATATAACTTACCATGATCTTGAACTTCTGATCCAGAAAGGGATGAACCATGTGCAAAATAGACTGTGTGCCAAATGGGTGTATTTCTCACTGTGCTCCATCTGCATAGGACCAGCTGTGGCAGGTCCTCTCAGGAAAGCCCCGTGACCCAAAAAGTATCTGCTTGGCACACAGCTTACTTCCATAAATTTAGCTCATATGGTCAATCATTTTCATTATGACAACTAGACCCTCCCTAGAAATTATACAACTTTGTTGTTCAATGCCATTCTTGCAGAAAAAATACCATTGAATAGTAACATAAACTGTCATCTTATCTTGGGTCATTATAGGTACCTGCAGGAGGCTGAGAAGCCAGATATTCATTTATTTCTAGAAGGGCAGAGACAGCCAAAACTGAACAGGTCTGCACATATAAGAAGTGACATTAACTGAGTTTAGTGACTAGGATGCCTGGGTTCATCTCCCAGTCCTGCCTACTACCCACTGGCTGGAGACCTTCACCAGATTTCATCAACCCTCAGTTCTCCATTTCATCATGGATAAAATGAACTCAACATAGCATTGCACTTATGCAGCTGTTGTAGAGATTAGATGATTTGTCTAATATTCTGTTGACACAACGTACAAAAAATATAAAGGAAGAATGTGTTTATTTCTCCTTCTCCTGCTCAAAATACATATTGCCTGTTACAATGGCATTATGGCATGTGGGTGAGGCAGTCCTGGGCATTGCAAAGCATTGAACTGTGGAACTACCCACACTGTTAGGTCTGTTGTCTAGGAATATACAACACACAGTCAGAATGGGGTGGTGCCACTTGAGGTTGCAAGTCCAGATACAAGGCTCTGCTTTCACTTGGCCGCATGCTTCTTGTAGATCTCCAGGAATTCCTGTACATCTTCAGGAGACCCCATGATGACTGGTGCCTTCTGGTGGATGTCAGTGGGAATGATGTCTAATATAGCTTCCTTTCCTGTGGTAGCAAGTCCTCCTGCCTTCTCCATGACAAAAGCCATAGGATTACACTCATACAGCAGCCTCAGCTGGAAAACAAGACCAGAGACCAAGGCCTTCAGCTAGAAGGTGTTACCATCAGGGTGGGGGACTTTGTTCTTTTGTAAAGCTCTGCAGAGGTGGTGGGAGTTTCCATAGTAACTGATACTCTCTCCCTCTCTCCTTCTCAATTAGGAAAGTTCCCTCAGTGCTCCCACAATGCATCTGAGACAAAACCATTAGCTATTTGGTGAATAAAACCATTCATGGAGCCAGAGCTAGCCAGCTACCTGATGCAAACATAAGGCAGACCACCTGGATTTGGGACAGAGTGACATTTTGGCAGTACTAACAGTTCCCAACTCTTTACAGCCAGAGACTGGACCTAATGAGTGATTCCGTGTGTGTTGGATGGAGCTCTGTCTGTTTTAAAGGCATTTTTAAAAATCCACAGTGGTGTCTGGCTGCAGACATCTGGAAGGCAGACTGGCTCCTCCAAACAGTGCACTATTGTCCACAGCCCTGTACATTCCTCTTGAAAGCCTCCTAATGCTCTAGGGTTGGGATTTTGTCTGCCATATATCTTGATGTTTGCTTGTGAATATTAATTTTTTTATTGAGCACATTTTCATGCAGTTGGCCTGTAGAGCAGACAGACTGTGCTAGTATTTCCTGACTCTGTTTCCATATGGGAATCAGGGCCAGACTTGAAAAAGGGGAAGCACCTCCACATTTCTGTCAAAGAAAAAGAAAGTGAATCACTTGAGAAAAGTGCAATAAAGCAAGTTGGCTGAATACTTCTGGACTGTTACAGCAAGACAGGTGTGCTAAAAGAACAAAGAAAAAATGCTTTCAGTGAAGCAGACACCATGAGCCGTGAACAGACCCATCAGACCCACAATCTCAGTTCCTGACATCTTAAGGGCACTGTTCCTCCTATTTCTTCTTTCATATAAAACAGAGGTGCTGGGGGTGTAGCTCAGTTGCTAAGAGTGCTTATCTAGCATACATAGAACCTTGAATTTGATTGTAGTACTATGTAAAACCCAGCACGGTGGTTCACACGCCCCAGCCTTAGGAAGATGGATGAAGGAGGATCAGGAGTTCAAAGTCACCTTTGGCTACACAGCCTGACTCACATGAGACTGTCACAAAAAAACAAAAGAGGTGGGGAAGAGGACAGAATATCTGACAAGGAAGCATTTTGCCACCTTGCATGAAGACGCAAAGGATGCCCCCTAGCCAGCATTGGAAGGCACACCAGCCCTGTGACTTGCTGGAGAGCTGGCCATAACATGGTCAGTGTAGTCAGCGGAAAAATCCACCTGGAAGCTCTGGGTTTCCCCACAGCCTTGTCCCTCATCAGACAACATCGCTTTCCAAGTAGCGAATGCCAAGCTCATTAGCTACATCCTATTTTATGCCTTTTGGGAGCCATCAAAGCAGACCCCTCTCTGCAATGCATATTTGATTTGCTATCTTGGTAATGAGACAGGGCTATTTCATTTCTCTCTATGAATGGAACCCATTCTGTGCAAGCCAAACCCATGCCCCCTGGAAGCTCTGAGTGCTTTTAGTCCCCTGTTGGAGTTCCATTAATTCTCTTTTGCCATAGCTTTGGAAGGGCCCTCATGAGACATTTTCGCATTTAGTTGATACAGTCTGGGCCTTGCCTCAAATCTAGAGACTGTCACAGACATTTTAGCAACCACAGGAGAGTTCATCAGCTCTATGACCTTTCTACCTAAGGAAATCATATCTCCAGGCTGGAAACAAAACCTGCTGCTTCTTGCTCACTTCTTTGGGGATATACATACCTTTCCACTGGGGCTTTTCTTGTTGGCAGGATATAAAAAGATCCCTCCATACACCAGAGTTCGGTGAACATCAGCCACCATGGACCCCACATATCGGGCACCATAGGGAGCTGAATTATCCTACAAGGTTAAGAGCAGCAAAAAATTAGAGCTATGGAAGATAAAGGGTGTAGTATTAGTGTCCCTGATGTTTATTCCATTCCATAGTCATTTACCAAGTATCTTACAAAATGCTCACTTGGAGCTGAGCTAAGACATGAAATGAAAATCCCTGTGGTAGTTTAAATGTATTTGGCCCCCATAAGCTCATAGGGAATGGCACTATTAGGAAGTATGCCGTTGTTGGAGGAAATGTGGTCTTATATGAGGAGGCTGGATGGCACATTCCTTTAATCCAGACCTTGAGGCTGGAGGGCACACCTTTAATTTGGGTCGCACCTTCTATTGGAAGTGTGTCACTGCCTGCATGCTCCCCACCATGATGGACTGAACTCTGAACTGTAAGCAAGCCCCCTCAATTAAATATTTTCTTTGTAAGAGTTGCCATGATCGTGGTGTGTCTTCACAGCACTAGTAAACCCTAAGACAACCCCATTCCAGGGAAGAAGAAGGGAAGTCGTGGGCACATGACCTCCTGAATATCTCCAGCAGTCTACCTTCCAGCAGTAGTCTCAAGGGAGTGTGATTGGTTCTGGCTATGAGGTTGGAACATGCAATATGAAAAAATTTAACTTGAAGGTTGACAAAGATTTTGTCAAACTAAAGAACTAAGCATATGCAAAGTTATATGTTTTGTGGGAGAGGACTTGGTACAAGCAAGGGCTTAACAGCATAGAGGTAAGTGCTGTTGCCACAGGGCATGCCAGCATGCATGTGTTTAGGGATTGTGTATGGGAAAGGAGGGAAAATCATGCTATGAGAAAGCCTGGGGCCAGCTTTGAGGACCCCGATTGTCATGTTAATATGTGGGCGTCATCCTCAGGAAAAGGCAGCAATGGTAAGGCAAAATCAAACACCCCTATAGAGCCCCCTGGGCAATCAGCCATTTTTCTTCTTCATATTCACTAACTAGTAACCTCTGTAGTGAGATACTAAAGTAGACACTGTCCATCGTGTGTGTGTGTGTGTGTGTGTGTGTGTGTGTGTGTGTGTGTCTGTCTGTCTGTCTGTCTGTCTGTCTGTCTGTCTGTGTCTGTGTGTCTGTGTCTGTGTGTCTGTGTCTGTGTCTGTGTGATGGTATGCATGCAGTTGTGTACACGTTTGTATGTACATGGGTTTGTAGGAATGTATGTGCATGTGCAAGCTAGAGGTTGGTGCCTGGTGTCTTCTTCCATCACTCTCCACCTTATATATTGAGACCCAGTCTTTCACGTGAACCCAGAGCTTCTGACTTGGCTGTCCTAGCTGCCTGCTTGCTCAGGCCATCCTTCCTCTGCCTCCCTGTACTGTACGGCAAGCAGGCCCACTGTGAGCTGGACCTGGGGGACCAGTCTCCAGTCCTCACACTTGTGCAGCACGCAGTTTGCCATTGAGCCATCTCTCCTGCCAGCCACCGACCATCCCAATACAACAGGCAGAAAGTCATCAAGAATATAAGCCTGAAGGCACAAACCCCATGTGGTAGGTGCTTGGGGTCCAGGGGCCCCAGAAACACAAATGCTTTATTGTCGTAAAAGAGCTCGTCTGGTTGACTTTATTGTCTAGATTATGCTTGGAGATAAAGACTAAATAATGTTCCAATTTTGGTGTCCCCAAGCAAGCACTCCAGCCCCAACACCTATGTTCTATGGTTTCCACCTCTCTCTCCTTTCATCTCCAGGATAATTTACATCAGTAGATTTACTCATAAAGCAAGAGTCCCAGATGAAGTCCAGGCCTTTCTCAATGCCAAGTGTCTCTTTTCCTCTCAAGGACATTCCTCCCAAAGATGAACACCACACCAGTCCCACCTGCCTACTCACTCACTGGAGGGAACTTTTTCCTTTGGACATACTCCGCGATGGCAGGGTCAAAGTCCTTGGCATAGCCCTCATTAATGCTGTAGATGTTACCTTTCTTCTTGATCTTCACATCCTTATCCACCATTATGAATTCTCCAATGGCCTTTGAAACAAGGGAGAAAGGTAGACAGATGAACAGAGCATGGACTGTGACCACACCTCATCTCAGTGCAGTGACTGCAGCCAAAGTCTCTAGTGGTGAGAAGGATGGAGGGGGTAAAAGGGTGCCAGGGTGCCAGTGATTTCCATAAAACAAGAAAGAAAGCTTACAAGGCCAGACATGAGAGGGCACAACTCTAATCCCAATACTAGACAGGCTGAGGCAGGAGGATGAGGAGTTAAGATGATACTTCAGCAAACATCACTGCTTTCAGAAGCTGTACCTTTCTCTCAGATTAAACTTTGCTCTGAACCTGTCTTATTTTCCCCTGAGGCCTCATGCAGAGACTTTTGACTTGTGCTGTCACCCTCCACTCCAGTCTTAGTTTATTTATTAAGTGCCTGTGCTCCCAGGGAGGTGAAAGTGCAGTTGTGTTAAGCATCAAAGGTAGCCAATGTTCTGATTTATAGCAGATTTGCCACACCCCATACACACTCCCACAGTCCTTTCAAGAGTGAACTGCCCCTCACAGAGGACACCATGCTGTGCTTTGTCGTGTGTGTGTGTGTGTGTGTGTGTGTGTGTGTGTGTGTGTGTGTGTGGTTTGTTGTTGTTTGTAAAAAACAAAAACAAAAAACAAAAGAGAGAAAGAAAGAAGGAAGGAAGGAAGGAAGGAAGGAAGGAAGGAAGGAAGGAAGGAAGGAAGGAAGGAAGGAAGGAAGGAAGGAAAGGCGGGCTGGAGAGGTGGTTCAGCACTGCTGCTCTCCCAGAGGACTCAGGATAGATTTGTAGCACCAATGTTGAGTGGCTCCCAACCACCTGCAACTCCAGCTCCAGGAGATTCAACATCTTCTGACCTCCGAGGGCACCACATACTTGGGATACACACACACACACACACACACACACACACACACACACACACACACACACACACCATGCACAAGGTCAAAGCTACCAGCCAAACACCCAACCTCAGAGATGTCTCACCGGGTCCAGCATGAAGCAGTTGACACCACAATCCATGGCAAGGACCAGCATGGTGGCACTGCCGTAGAGAGCATAGCCAGCTGCCACCAGGTCCCGGCCCGACTGCAGGGCATCCTTCTCAGAAGGCTCACTAGTAGATTTCTAGAGCAAAAGAGAAAACAAAACATATATTCATTTTGGTTTGTGGTCCTTTTCTCCAGTCCAGCCATCAACCAGATGCATGGCAGCATATTCCTCTAATGCCGTGATTCTCATCCTTCCTAATGCCATGACCCTTTAACACAGTTCCTCATGTCATGGTGACCACCCAACTGTAAAATTACTTTCATTGTTACTACATAACTGTAATTTTGCTACTGTTATGAATCCTAATGTAAACATCTGATATGCAGGATATCCAATACTCAACCCACAAAAGGGTCTTGACCCACAGGTTGAGAACCACTGCTAAGGAAAGCGAGCAGCACCCCGGAGGTTGCCTCCCTTTGCACAACAGTAGCATTCTGATTGCATCACTACCACAGTCCAGCTTCCTGCATCAGGATCCTTCTTTCCAATCAACATCCCCTTCACATCTTCCTAATGTAATATTCCCTCATGTCTCCATTATCACTTCCAAAAAGCAGCATGCCTTCTCGCCAGCTCCACTAATGAAACTTGATTATAGGCCTCTGTCTTCACCTGCTTCTTCCATCGTTATTTAAACAGATTAGCGCAGGGCTGCAGGGCTGAATGTCTCAGGGGAAAATGGATTCTGTGTGCTTCCATCAGTCAATAGAAACACACACTCACTGAGCAGTGTGGTCAGTTACTCCCACATCAAAGAAATTCTCAGAAATATAGTTTGTGGCATCTCTCTGGAGTCATTAAAGGACAGGCCAGATGCTGCTGACGTTTCTCCCCCACGACCCAGAGTAAGACGCACATTTTAAAGCTGGCATCACAGAACCTGAGAGGGAATGAGGGCTACTAGAGGCTGGGCAGTTGGTGAGAAAAAGAGAAAAAAAAATTTTAATTGGTTTCCCTAAATGGCAAATTTGGTCCATGTGTCACTAAAAGAAAATGAACACCCTTTGTCGGTTTGGTTTGCTTGCCAGGATTATCTTAACAGTAACCTTCCTCCCTGGAAGCCAGTGACACAAAGATGGGACACAGGCCTCTAATTATCTCTCCTCCCTTGCCCTAAGGCTTCACAGAAACAGCTGTCCACCTACGAGAGTCCTGCATAGATTCACCATGCCTAGCACCACGCATTCATGCCACCCCTGAATGATGTCATCCAACACCCTTATACTCTTCTGTGCCCTTGAAATGAGGAATTTGACTACTTCTCTGCAATGTTCACAAACTCAAAAGAATCTCTGGATCAGAAGTTCCTCCCCCAGCCAACCCTAACCCTTCCTGATTGCATTTTCTCCTGAAAAGTCAGAACAATGAACACCTTTGCCCTGGAAGTACAGCTTACGCCCTCACAGCTGCCTGGGATTGCCAAGTGCAGAGCACTGGGCACAGCCAGCACTTGCTGAGCATTGTCTTTCTTCTCCTTCCTCAGAGGCCACAAGTGTAACAAGCATTAGGTTGTATCATTCCATGTCGCCCCATAAGGAGCACACAGTAGATGCCATCAACTGAGGTGGTGGAGGGGAAATCAAGCAGAATGGGTGGGATCATTCACAAAGCTTTTCCCTCACAAGGGCAAATAACCATTCTTTTTAAAATCCCATCCTTAGTTATGGAAACCAAATGTGTTTTTAAGGATGCTGCCAATTTCTAGAGGAAGACTGGACTAGAGAGAGATGAATCATCTCATGGGAAAGATTTGTTTGGTTTTGTTTTCTTTATTGTATGAAAATAACTTTTTTTAAAAAATATTTTTGGCTTAAAGAAGAAAACAAAGCAGGTTGGGCTGGTTTGGGGAGGTTGTCACTGTATCTGTCTTGACATTTTTTAAATCTCAGTTTCTTTGTAAAAGAGAGATATGTCTGAAAGAGTGAAATGGTCTCTTCTTCCACCAGCATTTTATTACTGTATCTTAGCAGTTTTGTGGATCTTTCATGCACAGAATGTGCAGGGCAATGAGACCTTGCCGTGAATCTATTCAAGCTCCCAGCTTTCTGTTCCACATTCATTTTCTGATCAAATCCAATGGCTTTGTACACTACACTTACCTTTCTGTAAATGCCAAAAATGGTTCCAATTGACACAAGGCAGTCAATGTTGGATGAGCCGTCGAGGGGATCAAAACAGACAACATATTTACCCTGGGCAAAGAAAACAAAATGCAAACAAGGTAAGTACACACTGAATGAATGCTAAAGGACAAGGTGGGAAATAAAGTCTTATTTGTTTATATTCTGTCAGTGAAGGTTATGAGAAGATGGATGGACAGACAGACAGTTAAATGTTAGGCAGAGAAAATATCATTTAGAGTAGAAAGTATATAAGTGGTAAAACACAGATAATTAAATCACAACTTCCTACATCACTGGTATAACTGAATCATAATTTTGGTTTGGGAGTGTCCTGGCAGGCAAAGGAAAAAAGAAAAACAAAAGCAGTCATTTGTTTCTCTTTCTTGTAAGGCAAAGAAATAATGCCTTAGGGGAAGGGAAGATGTCCTGAGCACTTATGTCTGTAAGACATTTGTCACTCAGTTTGATAGGTGCTACATGAAATTGTAGTGCACAGATTTCTCAACAATATCCCTGATATGACTCCTAAGAGAAAAGGCCCTGTGTTGTGGTGGGAGCAAAACATCAGTGGCATGCTTGGGCTGGCCAGCTCCAGTTCACAAGCTCATTGGACAGGCTCTTCCAAACTCTGTCAGGGACTCCAAGTGTACAGTCCAGCTTTTGAACATTTACACCCTTGAGCTTTTTAAGTACAACAAATTGGAGAAATTTTTCTGGGGAGCCAGCTTACCAGCTCATCACTGGGAATTTTCCATCTCCAATTAGCTTCTTTAGATGTGGGGGTGGAGAGAATGTTTAATGTTCTGCCCCAGATTCAGGGGACTCCTTGACTGCTTGATCTTAACAATTCATTCCTGTGGATGCAGGAAACTGCAGACTGGAAAATAATACTGCAGCCACTGTGATGGCATGTCACTGCGGGGGTGAGGTGCTGGAACACTGGCCAACACTGCAGAAAAGATGGGGACTTCTGAGACATGTGGCGATCTGCTACAAGGGCTGTCGAGCACGTCACTCTAAGCTGGCTGCTGCCCCTTCCTAAGGTCAGCACAAGCTGAATGTTTAATCAGCTTCTGATTTTCTTTCCCAATGCTACTCTTCCATGCCCCCAACTCACCTTCATCCAGGAAAGACAGTAAGTATAACTGCTTCTAGTCTCAGGTTTGCTTTACTAGCTGCCACTGTCTCATAAGAGCTCAACAAACTCTCTCCTATAGCATGTCATGTCCGAAATCCCCGAGCCTCTCTGCAATGTTGAACATTTCTTCAGTGGTTATTCCACATCCCCCAAATGTCTGTCACTGAGCTTTACAGCATGCCAGACTGGAGCTAGATGCTGGGTCACACAGACTGTCTATTGTTCTCTGCCTTCACAAAGCAATCTGACCTCCAGGGAATCCCATCGCCTGAACTGGCACTGGAATGTGGAGCCAATTCAGCTTGGCAGTGGGTCTATCATGAAGGCTGGGAATTGGTCATATCGAAAAGGCAATTAGCAGAAGCCAGGCTTTGAAGATACCTAAACACAGCAGTGACCACTCAGGAATGGAGACACACCCTGGAGAAATGGGAAGAACAGGATCAATGGAGCCTCTGGGACAGAGTTCAGAGGTTTAGGATGACAGGAATGAATAGAAGGAGCTTGGGTAATCCCTAGAAATCTAGCTTGGAGAAGTGAATGAAATCTTGCATGCAGCCAAGAAGGGAAATAGCTACATGCAAGCCTTCAACAGTGCAGACACAGACCCACCCTCTTCTCAGGCTCTATTATGATGGCGTGTTTATCTTCTTCAGACACAAGAACACAGGCAGAAAAGGATGACTTCAGCATATTGATAACCAGGTCATTGGAAAGGACATCCAGCTTCTTCACTTGGTCCCCTGTCACATTGGTTGAGCCAGCAATGCCATACCTAGAGGGGAAAAAAAAACACAGAAAATAAGCCAAGGCCACCAGAACCTCACTGAGGGAAAGCATGAGCGGATCTAAAAGAGAAAACCAGCATGCCAGGGTGGCCTTGCCTGGAAGGGCTGGCAGCGGGGGCTGAGACACTCCAAAGGCCCCGTTCCGGTCCTGAGATCACACATCTCTGGTCAGATTCATGTTTCCCAATCATTGTAGTGACCCTATTAAACCTTTTAAAACAATCTCTCCTCCTCCCCCATGAACAGAGCACTACCCTGTTTTCACATTGTGTGTTTATTACTGTGTCTATGATTTACACATAATAATGGGTGGTTTTTATGCCGCTTGTTTTGTGCAAGAACCAATGTTTACCCCCACATGTAGAAGTTCAGTGCATCGGTTAAAACAAGCAAGAAAGCTTGGGTTGGAGTGAGCCTGGTGTGTGAGCTAACCCCAGGGATGCTTTGGCTTGTAACAGAAATCATTCTGAAAGAAAAGCAGCAATAAATGTTTCACACTTCATTTTACAGAGAAGAAAGATGGAATGCCAACACCCTTGGACGTCAAACCACACAGGCAGGCAGAGTGGATGTCAGTGACCCTCTAACTCCCAACAGGGTCTGCTCTTATGATCCTCAGCCCCTGCATGACATCAGTCCTCCAGAGAGGAAGAATTGAGAAGCTTGAGTTCTTTCTGTCTTTGTGAGCTACCTGCAATCAATCATTGCAGAATTCCCAGAACCCAAGAGGCTCATCCAAAATGCAGCCTGGCTGTGTTTGAATGAGGAGAAGGCAGGTTGTCACTGATACAGATTGAAGAAAGATGCAGGAAGGAGGCAAATAATGAAGAGAGGATGTGAGGGTTAAGTTACAGAGCTGGAAGTGGGTAGGGGCACAATGGTACCCTGAGATGTCTATTGTATTTCCTGGGAACTAGTTGTCAGTACTTCAGTGACTGAGTGTGTCAACTGTTTTGTTTTGTGTTTCTCTTTTAGACATCTCAAGTATCCCAGCTGGCCTTGAACTCTCTATATAACTGAACTGATCCTCCTCCTGCCTCCACCTCCACACCCAAACCTTAGGAGCTGAGGATCCAACCCAGGGCTTTGTGCATGCTGCACAAACACTGGACCCACTAGCTGCAGCCCCAGCCCCTTGCTTCAGCTGTTGAAAACATATTTCTCCCTTGAAACCTAACTTGCTTCTGTATGGCTGGGCAAATCACAGCCCAGTCTAGAAATGACCAAGCAAAGGCCTGGTTGGCTCATTTGTCAGCATCAGCCACTGTTGTTGTCACCCCTTCTGGCCTGGAAAACAGCATCCTGCCCTCTGGCCCCTCCACCTCTTCTTTTCTGCCTTGCCCCTCCTTCTTCACTAAGACAAAGCAGCTTTTAGACTGGCAGTCTGCTGTCTTTGTTCCTCTTTCTACACCGCCTCTCTCTGAAGTCAACTGTGAAGTCCACACTGGTGTCTCGACTCTTGGTAGGGATCACCATCCCTGGTGCTTCTCCTTCACTGGCCCCATGGTGACAGTTTCCCTCCCTCTAGCTTGAAGCTGCCATCATTGTAGCCACCGTTGACTCAGAAGGGGAGCAGTGCTGACAAGTGAGGACAGAAGCATACAGGATGCCAACCACAGTCCCCCGTGCAGACCTCATCAACACAGTCTGAGCACCAAGCAGAAGGCCTGCTTGGCTTATTTGTCAGCATGGACCATAGTCACTCCCTTCTAACCTGGAAAATGGGGAACACAGATTGATAGGAACTGTTCTGAGGAGCCTGGGACGTGGGGGCCGAGGAAAGAAGAGCCCCAAGCAGAGTGTTGGGGCCCTGCAGACAGACACTGTGCCATAGTCTGCCACACTATGATGAAGAACCTGAAGCAACACTGAGCTGCTTCAATGAGGGAGCTGGAAGGCACAAGCACAGCACCGGCTGTAACAACAACCCTTTTATCTGCATCACCTCAGTGGTGGTTGGCACCCATGGCTAGTTAGAGTGGCTGGATGAAGGACAGACCACAAGTGAGACGAGAAGCCAGTGTGAGGGGGAGGGGCCCCAACCCCTTAAAGACACTGCCACTTCTCAACACCACCAGCACACTGGAGACTAGGTTCCCAGCACAAGATCCCTTGAAATTCACACCACAGTGTGGTATTGTATTCCCCCAAATATTGTGCATGCTAATAAACTTATCTGGGGTCAGAGACAGAACAGCCACAATATTAAACATAAAGGATAGGCAGTGGTAGCACATGCCTTTAATCCTAGCATTCCAGAGGCAGAGATCCATGTGTTCAAGGATACAGCCAGGCATGGTGACTCATCATGCCTTTAATCCCAGAAAGCAAGCCTTTAATCCCAGGGAGTGGTGGTAGAAAGCAGAAAGGTATATAAGGCCTGAGGACCAGAAACCAGAAGCATTTGGCCTGGTTAAACATTTGGCTGGTTAAGCATTTGGCTGGTTAAGCATTCAGGCTTTTGAGCAGCAATTCAGCTGAGAGCCATTCTGGATGAGGACTCAGAGGCCCCAGTCTGAGGAGACAAGGCCAGCTGAGGATCTGGCGAGGTGAGGTAGCTGTGGCTTGTTCCATCTCTCTGATCTACCAGCATTGACCCCAATAACTGGCCCCGGGTTTGTTGAATTAATAAGACTTGCTAAGATTCATGCTACACCACAGCAAACCACAACTTGTGGGAAGGATGGACCTCCTTTCTATGGATCCCAGTCCCACCTACTCCTGTACCCCAGTGCCTTTTACTTAAAAAACTAAGCCTTCATAAAATCTACAAATAACTTCCTGGGGACCTCCTCAGCCAGGGCTGCAGTGCTGAACAGGACAGACCAGGCCCCTTGCCTCAGGGGGCTTAATATTGCAGTGAGGAAAGACAAGCAAGAAAATGGCTGCTTCCAAGTGAGTCTGATAGTCAGAGAGGGCAGAAGTCAGGTAGCAGGGTGGGGAATTAATTTGGATGATCAAGAAAGCACTCGATGCCAGTCTTCAAACTGCTTGGAATTTAGTGTTCGGTTGGTTGTTTTATTTTGTTTTGTTTTTGTTGTTTTGTTTTCTGTCATTGTTTTATTTTTTAAGAAGAGAAGAAACCCAAAATACCTGAAGAACCCTGAACTAGTCAGCTATAACTGCAAAGCAAAGGTACAAACACCTCCGAGGAAATAGTTTGCTTTTCTGCATTTCCAGAAGTAAGAGGCTTCATGCTGTGTAAACATCTAAAGAAGTATCTTTTTAAAACTTGTGGGGCCTTTCTCCATAATGCCTGGATCCAGGAAGTTCATGAGATGCAATAAAAGAGAGCCCCTGATCCACTCAGCTGACTTTTCTGAGCATTCATCTTCAACACTTGACCAAACCATAAATAACATGAGGCCTGGCATCATAGAGTGTTTTCAGTGCTATCCGCAGAGGTGACTCGGTAAGTCAAGCCTGTAGTGTACACTTGCTCCAAGATCTTGAGAGAGCTTGACCCTAGGGTCACAGAGAAGCCAGCATTCAGGAAGCTAAGGGTCACAGAGGTTTGCTGCCTGTCCATGCTGAGACTCCTGTGGGCCAGATAACAATCCACAGGGTTGAGCAGTATGGAGACCATCCTTATTCCTGCACTGAGGTACCAGTCTCACTCAAGGCAGGACCCCCATTCATCTTCATGTGGCAGCCACTGGGTGACACTGCTCCTCCATCTTGCCTTAGAACCCTTCTTTGCCCCGGGTGAGGGCTTGCCTCTTCTAGAAGGACAGTCCTTTCCAGAAACCTCCAAATCAAAGATTATTCGCTGTACAGTGTCTCTAGGACATGAAGTGTGGGGGCTTCCCCTGTTAAGCCCAGGTACTAAGACACACCACAAGAAAACACAGTAATGTGACTTGAAGGTAGACACTGGGCTCAGGAGAGTGGATTTCCAGTTGCCAGGCAATAACACTGTCATGGTGGTAGGAGCACAAGCAAAATATCACACAACAATGGCATTTGCTAAAGGAACTGACCTTACACAACTGAGAATTTACAGTTCTTGAGCATAAACAAAAGAATATTCCCTTCAGCTCATATCCTTAGCTTCAGGAGTAAAACCAATGTGCAGCAAGTGCTCAACAAACATGTTTTGAATGGATGAATTCTGCCATCTGAGCGGGCCCTAACCCACCACAAAGCCGCTGTACATGAGCATGCTCCTCCATCAAAGTGCACCCTGTGGGCTGAGGAGATGGCTCAGTGGGCAAAGGTGTTTGCTGCCAAGTCTGACCATCAGTCCCCAAGACCCACATAGTGGAAGGAGAGAACTGACTCCAGCAAACTGTCTTCCAACCTCCACATACATACCATAGTATGCATGCATGCACACACATAGACACACACACACAACAAATAAGTAAAATGTTTTTTAAAAAAGAAAAAACTAATGTGTACCTCCTGCACAAACTTGTGTAGGCAAGGACAGTGGTTTTTCCCTCCCACCAGCTTGTCAGAAGAACAAAAGAGGTGACAGTCAAAGCCACAGGCTGGAACTCCAGATCACCAGGACTCTAATCCCAGCTCTACTACATACTTAGCAGCCCTGTGCAAGGCACTTCAAACCCCGGCCTCTGATTCTTCAACTATAAATAACATGGGAACACAGACGATCAGCTTCATAGTGTGTGGGGAGGGTGAAGAATGAGTTGATAAGGGTCAAAGGCTCTAAATGATGCCCTTGTGTAGACAGATATTCAAGAAATATTATCATCTTACTCCTCCCCCTAGTTCTTTCAACATTAGCATGCCCGTGCTGAGAAGCAAAGAGAGGTCCTAGCAAGAAGTCTGCAGCACAAAGACCTACATTCAAATTCTGTATGTTCCTCCTACCAAGTATGTGGTCCCTGTCTATCTGTCCAAACTCCCTGACTAAGCTCAACCTGATGGACTTAGCCAGAAACAGGGAGTGTGACACACCTGGTCTAAAGACATGTCCCTTGGCATGTCTGACTCCCTAAAATGACATCCTTGACTTCCTGATTGACAGGCCATTTCCCTTCTCCCAGAGTCTACAGCAGAGCTGTGAGCAGCAGCAACTTTGGCAGCATGCAGGAGGACCATACTAGTTGTCAGAACATCTAACCAAGGACAAGGGGAAGTAGATTATGATTTAAGTCTTATCACTAAAGTCCTGGGTAACTCCACCTCCACCCTGTTATTGATTCATCTTGTGGTAAATGACCAACCATTCACCCAGGGAGAAAATCCAAGGGTTAGTTCAGAAATCCATGGAAGAGGTGCCAATCAAGCTCTTTTCAGGGTCACAAACCCCAACCCTGGCTTTTGTTCATGCAGGTTGCAGATGGACAGATGTCAGGGTATGAGGCCAGCTCTGAATCTGCCCTGGAATGAGATTTGCAATGCACTCAAGTTATGTGGTGCAGATAAGCCAAGAAACAAAAGAGAATCTGGTACTGTTCTAAGTAATTTTGTGCCATAAATTCTGCAAATGTGAAGACAAGTGTAAGCACACATTAGTTATCCCACAATTCCAGACTTAAAGCTGAATTTCTTTATTGTTTTCCTCCATCAAACGAGGAAGATCTCATGTATAAAAAAGAAACATTTCTGGAGAGCTGGGAGATGGCTCAGTTTGTAATGAGTTTGCCCTTCTGAACTCAATCCCCAGAACCAGGGTTTTAAAAACAGATCACACCGGGCGGTGGTGGTGCACACCTTTAATCCCAGCACTCAGGAGGCAGAAGCAGGTGGATCTCTGTGAGTTCAAGGCCAGCCTGGTCTACAGAGTGAGATCCAGGAAAGGCGCAAAGCTACACAGAGAAACCCTGTCTCAAAAACAAACAAACAAACAAAAAAAAGCATTAAAAACAGATCATGGCAGCACACAATGGTAATTTCGGTGCTGGGGAGGCAGAGACAGGCCGATCCCAGGAGCTCACCGACCAGCCTGCCTAGCCTAGTCAGTAAGTGAACTCCAGGACAATGAGAAACCTTGTCTCAACAAACAAGGTAGATACCCTTTGAGAAACAGCAGCAAAGGTTTGGCCCTGACCTACACACATACACTTTTCCAGATGTTGTAGCCTAGAATATATTCCAGCTGATATGCATATGGGTGGCTGCAAAATAGAATGAAGGCAAAGCACAAAGAAAACAGTTTACAAAAGAAATAAGTAAAAGTCTTCAGGAAAGCAGTCATGATATCAATATGTGATTAGTAAGCTCCTTCATCTTCACACAACACTCTAAAGTTGAAGAACAGTTGTCCCTATCTTACAAGAGGGGAAACTGAGACTCACACATGCTTCACCACTCATCCATACCACGTTAATTAAATGTCAGCCCAGGAATCTAAGCCCAGCTCCTTCTCTCTGAAATGGGCTCTTTGGTTCCACATTTCCCTGCTCTTCTAAACCCAGTTGTGACATTCTCAGGGCCAATGTGTCAAGTCCAGTGGCTTAGATGCCCTCAGAATATGACTGCATGTTTCTGCAATAGCCTAAGATAAGGCTTCCAAAATTCCACATTCCCTCACTGCTCCCCAGCCTCTAGAAGTCAAGTCCTCCTTGGAATTCCATTTTGGAGTTTTGTATTGCTTTCATGTTTGATAGAATGATTCTACTCTTATTTGCTAGAACCAGTTCTTTGAGAACAACCCTCTTTGCCTTTCAAATTCAATCCATACTTTACCTTTGCCAGGTTCTTCTTCTGCCTCCTCTGCTACTATAGCTCTGGTCACTCCTTCATCTTTTCCACCCATTTTCCATGCTTTCTCCTCTAACTCCATACCTCTAGCCTTCCCTTCCCCAGAACCTGACCTGGGCTATATGAGATGCTGCCTCAAGATATCGTGTTAGGAACCATGGAAATGGCAACAGTGGCAACTTTAAGGTTGACTGAGATAGGGTAGCAACATGACCCGTAATTACAACTCTTCTGACTCCCTGTGAGACATCAGGCTGAGCTTTGGAAACCAGTCCAGATGAGGTTCTTGCAAGATCTGCAACCACCCCATCCCTTTGGATGCATGCTCTTCTAGGGCCAATTGGTAGGATTAATAAGCTCTTTGAAGGCTCTTCATTCAACACTTCAAAGACAAAATGAATATAATTTGGAGGCCTGTCAAGATCATATCTGGCTACTAGTGGTCATTTGGAGGCCTGTCGAGATCATGTCTGTCTGCTAGTAGTTCAACTGTATGTCATACAGTTAATAGTCACGAGCTCCCTGTCCCACAAGAATTCAACTTCTTCCCATCAGCTACTCGTGTAACCATCATCAACACCTATTCTACCACTGTAATAACCAGAGTAGTGAGGACTTAAATGCCACAAAACTGCAGAAGGGTTTCATTACTCGTGAGATGTCTGCTCAGTGAAACACCATGCAGCAGTTTAAAAGAAGATGGAGGATGTCACACCCTGATGACAGAGAATGTTCATTATATATTGGAGAAAAACATGGCAAATACAGTCCCATTTTGTTTGCTAGCTACATAGGAATGTGTAAATGCATGTTCATGTAGACATTTACTTTAGCATAAAGTAACCTCTGAGAAAATAATCAACAACAGTTAGCAGTGGGTACCCTGAGGATTTGGCATGGGTCAGGGGTGGGGGGGGCTCTTTTTCCTTCCTATCTTTTGAATGGCTTGGTGTTTTTGTCAATGGGTACAAATCTTTAAGAAATCTGTGATAATATTTTCAAAACTGATGTCATGATTGTCTAGTCTATTAATACACATTCTCTTCTGTGCCAAAACTAGCACCTTCTGCTAAAACCCACTCTCATTATCTGAGGTTAGTTAAAAAGTAGAGTAGCTCACAGCAGATTTAGGGTTTCTAGGTCTCTCTGGAATTGTGACAAGTACTGGTGCATTTTAAAATAATGTAAAAAACACCAACTGCTGTCTCTTACAAAGCCCCCAGGTCCTCAGAGAGTTAAATCTGTGCACTGTAGATTTAATATGAAGTGGGACTTTACCTGTGTGTGCTTGCTGAAAGACTCCTTAGGGTCAAAAACAAAGTAGTGAAGGAGTCCTCACCTCTAACATAGCAGTTCCTAGCTTTCTCTAGCAAGGCCTAGCCCTGCTTGGCATCTGAAAGTAAGTGTGGCCAGGTGCTTCGTTCTTAAGAATTATCTCACCCAAGACACACAGTAGAAACAGAGGTTTTGAGAAATAAATGCATAAAGAAATAAATAACCCATGTCGTATTGTTCGAGGAGAATTTAAAAATGCATTTCAAAGGATTATATGCTCAAGTTAGCAACAAACCTCACATAGCATTTCTGCATTGTTCATATGTATGAGAAATATTAAGGAAGTATACAGACAATCTGAAAACCCAGGTTCCATTCAGTTGTATGTGGACCAGTTAGATACCAAACATGTGCTCAGACTGGAACAAAGTAAAAAAGAGTTTGTAGTTTTAAAACAGAAGGTGTCTCTGAGACTCCATGTTCCTTCACTTCCTACTATCTACAGTATGAACTATAGATCAGAGCATTAAAATCACCCACCATGCCAAGTGTGGTGGTGCACACCTTTAATCCCAGCACTCAGGAGGCAGAGGCAGGCAGATCTCTGTGGGATCGAAGTCAGCCTGTCGACACATAGTAAGTTCCAGAATAGTGAGAGCTATATAAGTGAGACCCTATCTCAAAAAGCCAAAAAATAATAAAATAATAATAACAATCACCCACTGCAAGGAAACTTATTGCAAAGGCAGAATCTCAAATCCTCCCCAATTGCCCCTGAAGGAGGGTCCGCAAATCAAGGTCCCCAAATGGTTCAGAAGAAGGAGATCCATTCCTTGGCTCCATCAAAAGCAATCTACTACTTCTGCCCTGTCTTTGAGTTCTTCACTAATTGGGCAAGATCTGCTCATGGCATCAATGTAAATAGGGAGAGGGTTTGTTGCTCACAAGGTGAGTCTCTGCAGCTAGCCCCAGAAAGAGGGAGCGCCCAGGGCACCATGTGGACAGCCAGACTTCGCTGGACATCTGCTTCTTCCCAGATGCTTAACGAAACTAGTCTAGGATGAGGATGATATTGGATTAGAAATTGAACTTGGGGTCAAAATTCCAAAGAGAGTAACAGGGGTTAAAAGAGAAATGGGCAGGAAGGTGCCGGTGCTGGCAGGTGGGCAGCTGGTAAGTCACCCACTTTTACCACGAGGCTGGGAAGAGCAGCAAGGAGAGTTGAGACCCGAGGAGGGCTAGAGCAGTTGTGCACCTGTAAGACAGCCCTCCCAGGGTGCCTGCTCCATCACCAGGAAGGAGAATGGAGGCTGTGTGCAGCAGGAGATCTCAGGAATCTCAGGTGTCAAAAGGGCACACTGGCTACCAGTAGGGGGTCCAGAGAGGAGGACACGTAGGCGCTCTAATAGACCAGACACAGCCACCAGAGGTCTAACTCACAGCTGTGCGATGCCCGCCTTGCGCACCGCAGACGAGATGGCTTTGACGGCGGTGCAGAGGGAGTTCAGCAACTGGGTCAACTCGCCGGTGCCCCGAGCCTTCCTGCCCTCCTCCATGACGAAGCGGGTCAGGGTGTCGATATCCGTGTCGAAGGACGCCTGGCCCGCCATTGCTGGGGCCTGATACAAGTGCCGGCTGCAGGTGCTGGCAGGTAGGGTCCACAGGTGATGGTCACAGCGGGAGTACTGAAGGCCGCCCAGTGTCTGCAGAAGCTCAATGAACTTGAGTCCTCCGGGAGCTTATAGTCGTCAGGTCTCCGCCCCCTGTCCCAGGAAACACCTCCTTACTCCCTGCCTCCACCCAACTGACTGTTCTGCTCACGGGCCAAGATCCTCCTAACCTCCCCCTCCCTCCGTTCCATGAACCCTCCCCTAGATGCCACGCAGACATTGCCACTTCCTCCTCTGTTGCCCCACGGCCCGACCTGCGTTGTGCAGCATTCCTCTGGACTACCTGCATGGTGATTGCCTTCGATCCCCGCAATAACCTGCAAAAGAGTAAGGCCTGATGGACTTTCCCCCTTAAAATACAAAGCAAATCCAGCGGGGTTGAGTAACTAATTCAGTCACTTTCCCTGCACAACTGGAGGGGCCAAGCTGGCTTGTTCAGTGCCTACCAACCGCTCTGATCACCTCTCTGCACCCTGTCACCTGTCTCTCTGACTCACCTCCTGAGAAGGGGATTCCCCTATCCTTCATCGTCTGAATCCTTAATTGTGGCCTCCTCGAAGTTTCTAAAGTTGGAGAATTGTTGAGTGTGTTCTGCAGGGGAAACAATTGCGGGCACCGCCACAGCCAGCATCCTGAACTGCTCCTGTTCTAGCTGTCACGGGAGTCACAGACTGATTTGCAGAACAATTACGGAACAGCTACTGTGTACCAGAACACCTCTTCTCTTTGTGGCCAGGGCCTCCTTGAGTGTAGAGTTTAACAAAAAGAAACAAAAACAAACCATGGATCAGTTTGGTACAGAAGCCACATTGGCATAGGGGGAAATGAAACAGGAAAGTCAAACATATAATGCTGGAAAGAGGAAACTGAGTGGTCAGGGAAAAGCTCACTGAGAAAGTAATATTTGAGCAAAAAAAGCTGAAGGATGTTGGGGAGGAGCCAGTGAGAACCTATCTGTGAGGCTGGTTAACCAGCCAGGCTAGTGCAATCAGCTAGCACTGAGCTTATCAGTGGCCATCTCTTAAAATGAGGTAGACAGTGACCAAGGAATAACACCCAAGGTTGTCCTCTGATCTCTCTTGTGTACAGGCACACTTACACCAGGAAAGAAAACACAGGTGAGAAACACTAAATTATGACAGATCTCATGAGTCATAGCAAGACACTTGTGGGTTCTACTCATAGTGCATGAAGAACCTTTGGAGGATTTGAAGCTAGAAAGTAACATGACTTGCTTTATTCTAAATGATATGGGAACAGACTGTAGAAGGTCAGAGCTGAAGCTAGGAGACCCAGCAGCATGCCTTCCATCCAGCTTGTTTGAGTCCCTTATCCAATGTACAAAGATTGCTATCAAACTACTTGTTAATCTCAATTATTCTTCATACTGTGTGGGCCTGGAGCTTCTTGCCCGGCCTGGGCCCACTGTCTCTTGGTACTCCCTGCTTCCAGCATCACCCTGTCTGGACCCACTGTCTCTTGGCATACCCTCCAGCAGCATCCTCTTTTTCTCTAATTCCTCTTCTTTACCCACCTGCTCCACCCTGTGCTCCAATGACTCATTTTCCTAAGAAATTACCCTCTCATCCCTGGAGACAATATTGAACAGTCTGATGATCACAGCAGGGTGGGACAGAAGATGCTGAGCCATGATACAGTAGCAATAACGAGCTCAACCGAGACCAAAGGGACCCCTGAGGCTGAGATGACCCTTCTAAGCTGACTTCAGTGCAAGTCAAGATGCTACACACCAAGGTCACCAGTCATCCTTTGTAGGCTGCCCTGGAAGGAGGCCTGACACAGGAGGGGTGACAGTCTCTGCCTTCCAAGTTCCAGCACTGTCTAACCCAACAGTACCAAAAGCTGTGGAAGAAGTTCTTGCTCTCCTTGAGGAACTGGGTAGCAGCTGTAGCACCCATTGTCATCACCAACAGAGAGGCCTGGCTGTCTGTGTCTGGTGGCCATCCTCTGCTCTTCACATTCGAAGCCACTCTTTTCCCATGAAGTCATATGTACAGCTACAGGCATTGCCAGACTGCTTCAGCAACTCAGCTTCTCCCTGATCCCAGCTGGGACCCTCCCCACATTTCAGCCTGAACCCTACTTCTCCATACCTCTACCAGACTCCAACTATACCACTCAAGGTTCTACATGCCTCTACTGTACTCTCTAGGACTATGAGCCTGTACCTGTTGAGTTTGGCCAACTCTCCTAAGGCTCTGAACCAAAGGCCAGTACAGAGAAATCATGAGTATTTCCTATTTTCTAAGTTAGTTATTGTGTGTACATGTATGCAAATGTATGTGCCATGACATGTATGTGGAGGTCAGAAGACAACTTTAGAAGTCAGTTCTCTCCTTCTACCATGGGGTACCTGGGAATGGACTCAAATTATCAGGCCTGATGGTAAACCTTTGCACACTGAGCCATCTTGTTAGCCATGGACACTTCACTAAAGGGCTGAAGGCTAGCCGCTGCTTTCTTCCACATGAGAGTTCTGAGAGCCTGACTTAGGAGGCAAGAGGAAGATTTAGAAAAGGGATAGCAGGGAAATGTCATTGCTAGGCTCATGAGTGCAGCCTCATGGCCTTTCATCTCAGACCCTGTAACAACCTGAATTTACTCATAACACAGTGGAGGAATCCAAAGTTTAATCAGGCGTCCCTGGGACAGGGAGCAAGGCTCAATGGTAGAGTGCTTTGTCTAGCATGCATGTATACTTGTGGCCATAGAATCAATCCCTAGCACATGAAATAAACACATTAATAAATTTTTAAAAATAGATTTCCTCTTGTATTTAGCACCAGACAGTGGAAGAGTTAGAATTTGAGCCCAGAATTTGGCTTTGCTTTCTGGCACTAACATATTACTTTTTTTTTTTAATCATCAGTGGGACAGAGGAAGAACACAGACCCAGGCCTGGCTCTTCTATAAGCCAGACCACCTTACAAACACCACTTCACTCTTTGGGCCAAATTTTGTCATCTGTTAAGTAAGTAGGAGTTATGTAATCATCGCTCATATTTCTCGGGTGCTGTTACACATCTAGCTAAGGCTCTTTCAGATGAATTCTCTCATTCTGTCCCACCCCAACCTTGTGATTAAGTGTAATCAGAATTTATTCCCCCCCTTCCACAAATGAGGAACCTGTGGTTTAGGTTTACCTTTCTCTGGGTCACACAGCTAAGAGGGGTGGATATTGACACTCAGACATGCTGACTCAAGTGCACATGCTTAGCTTGTCTGGCCTTCAGGATCTCACAGTCCAGGTTCCTCTGTCCTGGTCTCCAAGGTCCTGGGAGAAACCATGGCAAGTCTCAGGAGGCCCAGTTCTCCCCTTCCAGGGACTACTGCTGCCTCACTCAGACTCTAGCTGTTTCCAGGACTTTTCTGCCTTTTTCTCAAGGTGTAGTTTCCAAGGAAGGAAGGGCCTGCTGGGTGTTCTGCGGCTCATCTCAGCTGGTTCTCAGACCGGGATGCAATTCTCCCACACAGGTCTCACTGGAGGCTCTTGTGACCAGCAAACAATGGAACTTTTTTTATATAGTGCATATTAATTACACAGCATAATGGGCTTCATTGTGGCATTTTCATACATGCAGACGCCTTTGATCACATTCACCCTCATTGTCTCTCCTAATCCACTACTTCTCCCCATCCCTTTCCTCTTCCCCAAGTGGACAATGGGACTTTTTCAAAGCAGACTTTCAGACGTGTAAGGACTTAGTCTGTTCTACTCAAGTTCTATGTTGTTGTTTCTAATTAGCATAACCACCGTGAAACTATTTTTTTTTCTAATTCTTTAAAGTAAGAGAAACAAAGAACAGCAGCCAAAGGAAGAAGCCTGGGCTTTCTTGACCCAGAAGTACCTCAGGAGTCTCTTCATGTGGAATCTCAGCCTTGTTATTATCATTATTCTATGTATTTATGTATGGCTCTGATGAGTTTGAGTCTTTGGCAAGTATCCTGGTTTGCTTCCCCATTGCTTTATATAACACTGACCAAAAGCAACTTGGAAAAGAGAGGAGTTTTTCTCATCTGACAGGTGAATTGATGAGACCCACATTTAGTGAGAAATCCTGTCTCAAAAAATAAGGCGGGGAATGGTGAAGACACCAGATGTTGACCCTCTCCATCCCCACACACCCTCAATCACACACACACATAAGAAAAAGAACCTCAGCTGGGCACTTTTCATTTTATCCTTGGACAACTTTCTCCTCTCTAACTCCATTGCCTCTGTCCAACCCCTTCTGTTCCTCTTTTGCTAGCCCCTGCTCTGGGTTTTATTTTTTCATTTATGTTTTATGTGTATGAGTGTGTTGCCTACATGTATGTCTTTGCACCGAATGTCTGTGGTGCCCAGGGAAGCCGGAGAAGGCAATGGATTCTCTGGGACTGGAGTTACAGATGATTGTGAGGCACCATGTGAGCACTAAGAATCAATGCTAGGTCCTCTGAAGGAGCAGCCAGTGTACTTCACTGCTGAGCAGTCTCTCCAGTCCTGTCTCTGAGCTTTGAGAAACAGTCTGCTTATATTTTTGGTTGTGAGCCTAGCCTTTAACAACTAAGCCAATTCTTTATACAAAATTATTTCAAGCATACTTTCACATGAAAACTTGCCTTGTATTTTTATAGAAATGACTCATTTTCATTCATGGTATATTATTTTTACAATTTTCCTTTTCTATTTGAACAAACTTACTAATGGCTATCCATTTGAAAATTAATTTTTATTTATAACTCCTATCTGTATACAATTTATATTATTAAATTCATTATGTTTTTCAACACAAAAAGAAAGGGAAAGAAACAGTTTGCTGGCTTCCTCCCTGAAATCTGCTATGATGTCTAGCCAGCCTCCTCCTTGGATAGTCAGCTACCTGTTCTCAGCTAGTTCTGCTTCATAAACATAAAATGGGTTTAAACACCTCACATCTTAGAAAACCAGAGCTGGGGTGCGGCTCAGTCAGTGAAGTGTCTAACATGCAGGAAGCAGGGGCTCAGTCTCAGCACTGCACACGGCAGCATGCTTGCTCAGTCTCCAGCACTGCACACAGCAGCGTGCTTGCTCAGTCTCCAGCACTGCACACGGCAGCGTGCTTGCTCAGTCTCCAGCACTGCACACGGCAGCGTGCTTGCTCAGTCTCCAGCACTGTACATGGCA